ACCCAATCCGCCCGTTTGCCAGGTCTAGGTTCCATTTAATACATATACATTAATACACACACCTTGCGAGCAAGGTGTGTGGCAGCACTCCTACCCTTAAGCGGTTTACCCTTCTAGATCTCATTTTTGAATCAAGCGGGAGACTCCCTTCTAATATACCACCAATCCCCTCCCCACTAGGGGTGGCAATTTGCCCCAATCCCCATTGGGATCCCACCACGAGGACGGGGTGGAGATGGAGAGCATTTTCCCTTGCAAAATTTCATGAGAAATTTTTTCGCCCTACAGGTATCCCCATCCCTATAAAAAATTAAAAATATATATAAATTAATTTTATTTTAAATTTAATTCAACTTTCAAGCCCAAACCAATTCAATAAAAATTAAACTTAACTCAATTTTACTCAACTCAACCTAACTCATCGTAAACCTTTTAACTATTTATGTTGGATTAATCTTTATTTATATTTGGACAATTTACATTTGATTTTATATTTAAAGAATTTTAGTTAATTGTATTTAAATTTTTAGAATTTTATTCATTATAATTGAATATTAATTAATTATATGTAAAAAAAATTATATTTTGATATTAATTAGTGGGGAATTAGAATCTTCATGGGAAATGAGAATGGGGGGCAAAATCTTGCCCTGTTAAAATCCTCATGGGGATTCTCATCCTCATCCTCACCATTCACAGGGATGAGGATGGGAAGGGACTCCTCGACCCCACGGGATTCCAGTGACATCCTTAGTCCCCACTAAGAATACCAAAATATATATATATATATATATAATATTTTTCTATTACTCCATTTGTTGCAAAATTAGAGTCTATTTAGTATAACGGTTAAAATTTAACAAATAGTAGGTAGTGGATAGCGAATAACAGATAACAGATAGTTGTAGCAGATAACAGATAGTTGTAGCAGGCAATAGGTGATAGTTAACAGATAATGGGTAGTAGATAATAGATAGTAGAAAACATGTATCGAATAGTCAATAGT